ATCCTGAAATTCCAAAATATTCGGAATCGTTCCACCCGGTGTAATGCAAATTGCAAAAGACAATTTGGAGAAACTGCGCAATCATTATTATTGACCTGAGGTTATATATTTAACTAACCTTTTGTCAAACAGTAACTAGAAACCGTAATTTCGAACTTAATGTCAAACATAAATGGTTGTTGACTTGTTGCATTCTACTCACCAGGTTTGTAGTACTAGTAGTATATGAGTAAAATTGATTACTTGTACGGTGATATTCAAGAACACTGGCACGTGAGTCCATTCCCTTAACAGCCACAAGTTGTTTGTTGGAATAGTTTGGTGAAAATTGAACCACAGTTTAATGCATTTCTATCAGAAAAAAAAAAAATTTAATGCCGTATTCATATCCAACTACCGCTTGTTGAGTTTTGTAACATTTCGAGGTGAATTGCATTTTCATGATATCTTCTAATAATAACAGATTATAGTAATCATGTTTATTTCTTGTCACCTTCTTTGTGTTGAGTATATTTGATTAGGACAAATATTAAATTGATTTCTTAGGGCAAAAATAATGGTATCTGACTCATTGGGTAGTCCGCGATTTTGAATTACATAGTGGTGTTTTGGTCCAACCCATACCTATCACTAAATTAGGTGAACTGTCCTCTCTTAGAGATTCTGACAGTTACTTCCAAAAGTAGGAATGAATAAATCATACCAAATAAATATAGTCACGTATTTTATACGACACCACATTCATCCAATCTGACTTAAAGTTCGAGAAGATATGGGTTTCCTTTAGATATATGAATCTTGTGTAAAACTATCGCTCTAATTCTAGAAACAGTGAGATGTATATTGTAAGGTCATTTGCCTAATGAGTAATGTATGGTTTGTATTGTACACAAATAACTTATATGATAAATGTTTAGTTATAAGTTTGAAAAGATAACCGATGTTTCGTATATTCAATAGCTTATAATGCAATGGTCTAAAATACTAATCGATCGGTCAGTCAGAGCGTTAGAATCGCAATTTGATTTGTCACTCCATCCTTATAATACACATGAAAAACAAAAAAAACTCTCACTGATATGCTTAAATAAAAAAAGCGCGGTTAAAATCCATGACAATTAGGTTGGATAGACTAATCCGCGAGTTAATACTGAAAAATGTTACAAGCTTGGTTAAAATAAAGGCATTGTCGTCAAATATATTAAGAAAAAATGGTGCTGTAGTCAACTAGGTGTTAGGTTAGTAGTGTCTTAGTGATGAGTGTGAGTAACCTAATTCTTCTTTGGGTGAATTTGCTTGATAACCAAACTACAATTAATAATCTAACCAATAATAACTTATGTGGAGCAAACAAAGTCAAGGTTAATTGGTGTTATTATAATCAACTAGGTGTTAGGTTAATGACGAGCGTGAGTAATCTAATTCTTTTAATTCGATTTCCTGTCAAAAGGATTTTAGTTTCTTTATTCTTTGTGGGAAATGTATGAATTTCGGTTCAGATTGGTTAACCGCAAATAAAAATATGATAAAATGGTGATGACATATTCATATGCCATTTTCACTTTTGAGGTGAAAATTTAGAAAAGTGCACTTCTCAGTAAAATCCCAAAGATTTTGAGTTTGGACTAATATGGGCCGTGAAGGCCCACTAAGAGCACGTAAAAATGAGCCCATAGATTGCTGTTGACCAGACAAAATACAGACGATTTATAGAGGTCAAACAAAATATCAAAATTTCGACAAAGGTCAATTTCTCAATTAAATGCAAATTTTGTATCGTCCTCTCTCTCTCTCTCGCCGCCGGCAAATATCTTATCACCGGCGATCACATTCAAACCACGACTGCTCGATTCATTGGCCGTAGGTTAGTTCCTATTCGACCACTTTAGCTTCCAAAGAATATTTCCTTTTGCCGTCCAAATTTTGGGGGGAAATTTAGGTTTTCTTTTGTTGTTTTCTCCTTTTGTAGCAGACACGTCTCGGCTTTTTGTTTGTGTTGCAGTTAATAATGATTGTGCCTTTTCCACTATCACTTGTGATGTTTTTTCCTTCTTAAGATTAGGACAATAATGGCGCTTTAAAGGATTTGACTTGTGGAACACAAAAACTC